GCTACAAGGAAGCTGTATTCTGAGATCAATTTAGTAACAAATTGAGATATTCCTACAATTTATAATATTTAATTTTATCGTAGAATTATAAATACTTCGCACCGAATAACCAGAATTATAAGCTTAAAAAGTAGAATTTGTAGCATTAATTTACTATTAATTAAATTTCGTAGAAAAAACATTTCGCAAACTAATAAAATAATTTGACTCATACGATGTTGCATTAATCAGAATCTGCTTTTAATTCAACGAAAAAAGTAAGATATAAAAACATTTTGCACATAAAACAATTCGCACCAAGAACTCTGTAGAATACGAAAATATTTTATTCAGAAACTTGTATCTCTTTATCTTTGGACTTCGTTTGCATCAATAAAACAGCTAGAAACCAGAAACCAGAACGAATTCTCAAGGTACTGAGTTACGTGGGATCAGAAGTAGGTCCGTAAGGCAGAACCAGAGAAGTCTTTTCATTGAAGACGCTGTGGACCGTATAATGGAAGGGAGAAAAGAGCTTGCAACGTAGCTGAGATAAACGCGGTTTCAGAAACAGCAGCTGTGTTAGTGACATTGAGGTTCGAAGAGCTAAAAGTTGGAGGAACATAACGTTGAAAATGACAAGAAATCAATACAAAAAAATTCTTCAAAATAGAAAGAATCAAAAAGAGGAATTGGAAGGTTCACTAACGCGAGTTCGGCAATGAAAGGGGGTCAGTGGTGGAGGGCGGTATCGTAATCTTTTTATTCTTACTTACTGTTCGTGCTACTACCATTCCACCACTATCTTCTGGTAGTGGTGAGATGGTAGTAGGAAGAACAGTAATAAGAGTATGCGGAGTGTCAGGATAGCAGAGTAGATGGAGTCGTGGTGTTGGTAGCGAAGTGGTCGGCAAGGAAGACGTCAGTATTACCGGTGTCGGTGTTGGCAGCACAGAGGCCGGCAGAGATTACCGGTGTCAGAAGCAGTAGAATCGATATTGGCGCCATCCGAAAGGTCAGAGCTCGTCCAGACGGGATCCATAACGTCGAGACGGCAGTAGTAAGGACGACAGAACCGAAGAAGCGAGTGAGAGAGAATGAAAATGTACACTGCAGAGGTGAAAACGTGAGTGGCCGGATGCAAGACGGCAGAGCGCGCCAGTGCACGGGGGGTGGAGTCACGGGCGGTGGCAGTGACAAGACCTGATGAGAGGGGCGGAATATGCCGGCAACAGCCGCGTGGCAGTGAGGGCAAAGGGGCGAGTGTGGAGGAGGGTGGGGTTGGGGGGCTGAGGGGGGGCTGCCTTCGCGGTTACAGGAAAATGGGGGGGGGGCGAGGGGGCACCCGACGCCGTCATTCCATGACGCGACGCTTTGACGTTTTTCCTGTAACCGCGAAGCAGCCCCCCCTCAGCCCCCCCAACCCCACCCTCCTCCACACTCGCCCCTTTGCCCTCACTTGCCACGCGGTCTGTTGCGGCATATCCGCCCCCTCTCATCAGGTCTTGTTCACTGCCACCCGCCCGTGACTCCAACCCCCGTGCACTGGGCGCGCTCTGCCGTCTTGCATCCCCGGCCACTCACGTTTTCACCTCTGCAGTGACATTTTCATTCTCTCTCACTCCGCTCTTCGGTTCTGTCGGCCATAGGACTGCCGTCTCGACGTTAAGGGATCCCATCTGGACGAGCTCTGACCTTTCGGATGGCGCCAATATCATTCTACTACTTCTGACACCGGTAACCTGACAGGCCTTCTGCGCTTGCCAACAGCCGACACCGGTATATTGACGTCTTCCTTAGCCGACCACTTCGCTACCAACACCCACGACTCCATCTACTCTGCTATCCTGGACACTCCGCATATTTTTATTACTGTTCTTCCTACTGCGCATTCTCACTTACTACCAGAAGATAGTGGTGAATGTTAGTATAGCACGAATAGTTAGTAAGAATAAAAAGATTACGATACCGCCTCCACCAACTGGACCCCCGTTCATTGCCCAAACTCGCGTTAGTGAACCTTCAATTCCTCTTTTGTATTCTTTCTATTTTGAAGAAAAATTTTTTTTGTTATTGATTTCTTGTCATTTTCAACGTTATGTTACCCCAACTTTTAGCTCTTCGAACGCTTCATAATGTCACAACACAGCTGCTGTTTTCTGAAACCGCGTTATCTCAGCTACGGTTTGCATGACTCTTTTTTCCCTTCCATATACGCGTCCACAGCGTCTTCAATGAAAAGATTCTGTGGGTTTGCCTTACGGACCTACTTCTATCCCAGTAACTCAGTACCTTGAAGAATTCGTTCTGGTTTCTGTTTC